TTCACATAATTTTCCTGTTACTCCAGGAAAACACTGGGGCAGTACCTCAATTTAGGTCATAACTACCTTCCAAATTCCCACCAGTTCATTATCCACCAATCATTCTATCATTCCATCCAATTCAGCCTGAGCTACTGACAGCTTGGTTAAATAAATTATAAATAAATAAAATTATTACTCAGATGCATTACTGAAATTACTTATGAAATTCTGAGGCTGTCACTTCGTTATTATGCCCAATGTGAATTGCTTGGATGAAATTTCAAACAGTGGGTCAAGTATTAGTGTGTGACCTCACCCAATAGATTATATTAACAGAACTGAAAGCACAATTTCTCATATTGCTAAGATCAATAGCATGACACAAGATGTCTCTAAATGGATAAATAGTTCCAATAGTGTTGTCACCTCAATAGTCCACACAGCTGCCAAGTCAGTAACATTAAGAGTAAAAAAGCCATAACGGCTTGGCATTCACATCTACGTTCATGAAAATATTCTACTTTTTTCTAGAATGCATTATTAACTTTCATGAAAATGTGTTACATTATTCTATGTGTTATTTATATTTTTTGGCTTGTAGATGGCTAAGGACTTGCACTGTCTTAAATACAAAAAATTTATTTTGACTCTTTTTAAGTCTACCTACAATGCAACACAAAATACTAAATTTACTTGTGAAATTTATGTACAATTTTATCCAGAAAGTCAAGTTTGATTACAGCTGAACATGACGTGGAAATATTCTATGGACTCCACCACCTATAGCCTCCTTAATGAACACTGAGACAATGTCTCTTGTTAATTTTCAACCCACACACAATTTTCACATAAAATGAGATTAAATTTGAATGAGATGTGGCAATGCAGTATGCATATCTGCATAATCTAGCACAGCGCTCCTTGATGAACACCGAGGTGTCAACGCCCCTTGATAAAATTCTGCATGGAAAATGCAATTAAAATTATATGCAATCTAGCAAAACAGTAGGGATATTAGTGCTGCAGACTCCACCACACGGTTCACTGATTGACATTGAGAAAAAATGCCCTTTAGTAATATTTCAACCAATGCATATTTTTTGCAGAAAACACGATTAAAGTTCCCCATATCATGATGCCAAATACATTTAATTTTTCATGAAAGTGATACAATGATCAATATTCTATCAAGGTTAGAAATGTGGTATTTAAAACTGTTCCAAAACTTCTTGTATAAACGAATTATGCAACTAAATATAGAAGAACTTGCTGGCCTTTAAATTCTACAATCACATTTTACGTATTATGAAAGTACTTTTAATTCTGACTGTAAGTAGGATGTCATTTAGGGCCTCATCTGCCTCAATGTCAAACTCATCTTCCTATGGCTGGTCTTGTTTTAACATACTTAGCTCTGATCCAAACAATTCATTGTAATATAATTACTGTTACAGTAGCAAGGATACACCAGTTAATTTCAGCTGTCAAAGTCATGGCAGTATAAGCATTAGATATATGGAGGAAATAACACTATCAAAATTTATGTTAAATTACATTTAGGTACGGTGTCTAAGCGTGGATTTTAACTGCTTGCTGTTCTAACAGCCATGAATAACCAATGCTGTTGAGTTCACTTCAAACCAGTCACTCTGAAACACACAACAAATTCATACACAAAATATATGGCCCATTTGTTGTAACTGAATAACATATGTAAAGGGAGAAGGATTACAGAAGATGTTAGTAGTTTTCTACACCATAGTTCTTTGAACACAACTCAGCAACAATCTTACTTTGCAACTTCATTCAGAAACTACAAAACAGCACCATGTAGACAGTCAAATAAAACAATCATTAAAAACCACTGTCTGGTGGTAATGTGGATTCCCACGCCTCGTAGCCTCATGCCACCTCCTGACGCATCCCAGAAGGATTACCCTGGGTGCGTGCAGGAGCCCTTGTCTCTGCGTATAAGCCTGCTCCTCTTAGTAAGTCTGTGTGATGCTGACGAAACAGAGGATCATGTGGAGAAGGCATAGGAGGCAGCATGCATCCTAGGACAGGAGCAGGCTCACACAAACCAGAACCACCAGGCCGATCCTGATGTGCTGAAGGCTGCTGTTGGTGCTGTTGTTGCTGAAGATCTTCGTGGCGAGGAATCCGTAAAGTCTGTCCATTTTGACACACTGAAGGAAGACCCAAGACATGTGGACCTGCTGAAACATGAGCCATTGGTTGAGGAGGCATCACTAAAGTAAGATTTGGACTGTTAATATTAGTAGTCTGCGACACTGTCGGAGGGGGACTGTGAAGATCTGGTTGAGATACAGATGAAGGAACAGAGGGTGGCGTTCGAGGAGTGTGAGGCGCAGAAATGTCTTGCCCTGGCTGCCCTGTTTGTTGAGCCTGTTGCAGCTGAGATTGTTGCTGTTGTTGCTGTGGCTGTTGCTGCTGCATACTGCCTTTCCGTGACCGCACACGGACAGTTGACCTCCCTATACCAAAGTGAAGCAGTTCCAAATGCCGACGCAAGTTGCGAGACTGGCGTAGTGTGGCCCCACATAGTGGACAAGTTGCAGGTTGGTCAGACACACTGTTCTTCTTCACAGTTGCTGCAAGAAGAATCAAGAAACTACTAGAGTATTCTAGTCAAAGAAAACTTTGTGGTTTTAGTCTGCAAGCGAACTATACCAACTATATTCTAGTCACTATGTATAATATATCATAAACCTGTCTCTATCTATATCTCATCAATGTGAAACATGTCAATGGCAAGGAAAACACCTGGCATGGTAAAGCTTTGTAACTGTAAACCAGATCTGTAATATATCTTCCCAGTCTTCACAAAAGGGATTCGGAGTGACGACAGAGACAGAATCAACGCTAAAATGTTAATTTTAATATGAAGACAGTATATGCCCTCATTACACTATGGATCTGTACATACAGTGACAGAAATTATCTGCCTCAACATAATTACATGCGTTTTATGTTGCAGACATTTCTACAATGATACATTCTAGTTACAGAATAACATTGCACTGCAACATTTCTCGCTGTAGCATGCAGTGCAGAAGGTAAAGACTGTACATTTAAGGTTTCTCAAATCTTGGGATTGTTTTATTCAAACAGCAAAATTTAATACGCACCCCTTTCATCTGCTCAACCACACTTACTTACTTACTTACTTACTTATGGAGCTGAGCCCTTCTGGAGGAACCGCCAATTCTGCAGCTACTCCAGAATTTCCCAGCATTTTATGGAACCCGAAGGTTCATTACCGTGTTCACAAGAGCCCTCCACTGGTTCCTATCCTGAGCCTGATCTATCCAATCCATACCATCCCATCCTGGCCAAAAATGAGGGTGAGCTGTTGGAACAGGTAAGTTCCAAAAAATGCCATGCTGTATTAATTGTTTATTGAAAAGTGACGAGTTTCAGTAATGATGGCCAAAAGAAAAAATTATATAATCATATAAAAATTAAAAATTATCAAAGTAGTTATGACTAGTAAATCAAAGGATAGTTTATTCCATGGGTTTGGATTTCCAGGAGGAACAATATGCAGCTGGATGAAAGAAGACAAATTATATTCTCCCATAGATTCCTTAGAAGATGACAGGGATGCAAAGGAAGAAGACAGGTATGTAGACAGGTGTCCGTCAAGTGGTTCCTACCAAAGTGTACTAAAACAGTACCTACAAATGAGGTACTTTTGAAAGCTCCAGCAGTTCCTGAATCTGAGTTTGAGTCTCATTTTATGACCGATGGCCAGTCGGCCAGTCTGTCTTGGCACAAAGCACCCATTT